AATACCCTTCTTCTGAATCGTCGTGTGGATCTTCTGCTGGAACAAGTGCTTTAAGCTCTCGTGATCCGTCAAAATGTTGAAAGGCCGCCCTTCGAGATAATGGCGCCACTGATCAACAACCATAAGAACGGCCAAATACACCTTCTCGTATGTACTCCTCCCCTGGTTCCGGACTCCAAAAGCTTTACTAAAATAAGCAATTGGCCGGCCCTGTTGTGATAAAACTGCTCCTCCCCCCGTGCCACATTCATCGGTCTCTAAGGTAAAGGGAAGGGAGAAGTCAGGCAAAGCTAGAACATGAGCTTCACTCATAGCCTTCTTGAGGGCAAGGAAGGCCTCAGTAGCCAACGAAGTCCAGCGGAAAGCATTCTTCTTTAACAGCTCGGTAAGAGGTCGGCTGATTATCCCATAATGACGAATAAATTTCCGGTAATAGCCCGTGAGACCCAGAAAACCCCGCAAAGCCTTGAGAGAAGTCGGTTGTGGCCAATTGACCATCACGGCAATCTTTCCCGGCTCTGTCGAAACATCCGCCGCTCCAATAACATGCCCCAAGTACTCCACTTGCGATTGCCCAAAGGAACACTTTGACATCTTGGCATAAAGCTGGTGCTGCCGCAAGAGAAGGAGAGTTTGGCGGAGATGTTCCTAATGAAGCTCGGCCGTCGGACTATAAACCAAAATTTCGTCAAAAAATACCAGCACAAATTTGCGCAAGTGGGCAGCAAAGACATGATTCATGAGGGCTTGGAACGTTGCCGGCGTGTTGGTAAGCCCAAACGGCATCACCAGGAACTCATAATGGCCCTGGTGCGTACTGAACGCCGTCTTGTGACAATCCTCAGGCTTCATTCGAATTTGATGATAGCCCGCCCGCAGATCCAACTTCGAAAAGTAGCAGGCACCATGCAGCTCATCGATTAGGTCGTCAATAATGGGGATGGGGAATTTGTTCTTGATGGTGATAGATTTGAGGAGGCGGTAATCAACACAAAATCGCCATGATCCGTCCTTCTTTCCCACCAAGAGGACCGGTGCGGCATACGGACTCTGACTGGCTTGGATGAATTGAGACTCCAGCATCTCCCCCACCATTTTTGTCAACAATCGCCTTTTGATGGGGAATTCGGTACGGTCGGATGTTAATTGGTTTGGAGAGGGGGTCAATCGGAATGGTATGGTCAAAAGGACGAGGAGGAGGAAGGGTGGTCGGGGTTGCAAAGACATCGGCAAATTGGGAAAGTAAAGGCTGAAGGAAAGAGGGAACAGGAGGGTTCGAGGAAGAAGGAGTGATCGGGGAAAGGGAGAACAAATGACCTATGAATTGGGCCACTTTCTTCTTCAAGAGTTTGTGAAACGACTTGCTCGTAATCAACTTACATTGGGCCTCCCCAACCAGGCCTTGGAGAGTCAACTTCTTCCCTTGCCAGTCAAAAGACATCTGCCGCTTCTTAAGGTCCAACTGAATTGGGCTAACGGACTCCAACCAATCCAGGCCCAAAACCAAGTCGTGAGCCCGTAAGTCCAGTGTGCGTACATCGAACGCGAATTCAGTTCCCTGCATCCTCCACCGAAACCCACGGCACACCGAGTTACTGAGTAGAGCCGCCCCGTTTGCAACTTTGACTTTCATCGGCGGAACTGAGTCGAGTTGACAACGCAACTCGGAAGCTCGGGACTCACTTAGAAAAGTATGGCTGCTTCCAGTGTCTATCAACACCACCATCTCCTGACGACCAACCTTCGTCGGAATCTGTAACGCACGGCCAACCGAGCCGGAGCCAAGCGCCTGCAAAGAAACCTCCACCTCATCCGACGAAACCGAAGGCTGAACCAGATCTACAATCTCCTCATCACTGTCATCCGGAGAATCGGCGGCCTGAAGAACCTGGAGCTGCTTTTTCTTGGCACACACATGGCCATAGAAATATTTATCTCCACACTTGAAACAGAGACCTTGATTGCGAGGATGCCCCGAACGATCAGGAGGAACGGAAGGGGAAGAGGACGCCTCCACTGGAAATTTCTTCGGGCTCGGCACAGAGGTGGGGGGTAACCACTTCGATGGCGGACGAGTCTTCTTCCTCCGAGCGGCGATCGACATCTCCTCCAATCGAGCCTGATGAAACGCAATGGCCAAGGTCGGCGGCATCAACATCCGCACGCGTGGTTGGATCTCCTCATCCAAGCCACTGATAAAACTCATAATGAAGAACGATTCCTGAAGATTCAGGTTCAATCGAAGCATACGAGCACGGAGATCCTCAAGGTCCTCCTGATATGCAGAAACCGAGCTCTCCTGCCGAAGTTTGTTGAAGGCGCCAACAACATTCAAGTGATCCTTATCGCCGAATCGATAGAGGAGATCCGCGACGAAGGCGTCCCACTGCAAAAATGGCCGATTGTTCACCCAGCCTTCGTACCAGATATTCGCCCGTCCCTCCAAATAGAAGGAAACCACCTCCACCTTCTCTGCCTCTGGAACGGAATGGATCTGAAAGTACTTCGCACACTTCCGGAGCCACGCGTGAGGATCCGTACCATTGAAGAAGGGGAGATCGAACCGAGGAAAGTGATCAGAAATGGAAGAACGGCGCTGCTGATTGCGGCAGAAACTCCGATCGCTAGGTTCGCCGTGAGAATGAGGGGATGACGACTGAGTCGAGCGAATCAAGAGCGTCTGCAACGAAGCCTCTATCTTCTCAAAGGACTGTGAATGGCGGATCTGAGTATCTTGAAGAGCAGCGATCGAAGCAACGACGGAACTCATCTGCTCATCAACGGTAGTCATCTGCTCCTCGAGAACCGAAAGGCGGGTGTTGTGAGTCTGTTCGGGCGCCATTGTTGCTGGAAGAAAGACTCTGAATACCACTTGTAAAGAATGGGGATCGGTGTTTTATTTCCAGCGAAGTAGAGAAGCAGAGTTTTTACAGAGGAAAGAAGAGATACAGCTATTGTCTAACTAATTCTGACAGATTACTGGATAGATGCCAAAAATTAGCTACAATCAGTTCTTCCCCTCTATTTATACCCCTGCCAGCTGTCTTCCACCTTCGTTTCGTCACCTCAGGTCGTTACAACACGTCACCCGACATGGTTTCCTTCTCCAGCAGGACTTCAACGATCTTGTCCATTGCCTCTCGATTGTTTCTGATGTGGGAGAGTGCAATCTTGTATGCACGATCTGATATCGTCTTCACAGCACTGTCTATGTCCTCGGCTAGCCTCTCCGACATCAAGTTCCTTGCCATCATTCTCATGATCATGTCCGCACTCTGAGCCGATGAGTCCATCAATGACCACGGTACGATCTCTGACATTCCGAATGTCACCACCATCTACATTTTGAACACAGGCACAAGATTGTAAACAATCATTTTACGCTCTTGCATAAAACCATAACCAGAAATGCTCTGAAGGTTAATGTACTAAAATGCACTTCCACACAAATGCACCAAGCCAATCTGCCACCCCACCAATCCAATGGATTTGGTGTAGTTTAGGTCGATCGGGTTAGATGGATGTTCAGTGAGCCTAACTGGTCGAGATTTGCACCCTCTCAGCAACCCATCGATGTCAAATAAATTGTAGAGGAGAATTTTGAAGAGGGGTACCTGCTTGGCCAAACCGGTAATCTGTTGCAAGTCACCAGCTGCCCCAGTGGTCACCTAAGGCTCACCGAAGATAATTTCTTCAGCAGCTCTTCCGCCAAGTCCACCGACAATTCTGGAAAATAGTTGCTGCTTGGAGATAAGGGTTGGATCGTCACTTGTAATAAACCAAGTAAGACCTCTTGCCTGACCTTGTGGAACTAGGGTGACCTTTCGAACGGCATCATGACCATGAGTCAACGTCCTAAGTAATACAAGGCACAGGAAACACATATGTTATTAGATCCTTCTGTCTGTGAATTAATAAGGATTATTAACACAGATTACAAGTATCTTTGCTTACCCACAAATAGCATGGCCGACTTCATGGTATGCCACAAGACTTTTACTCTTCCCATCGGTCATTACAGTTCCTTCCATTCCAGCAACAATCCGATCAATAGAATCATCAATTTCTTTAGGTGAAATTGTTGTTCTCCCACGGCGACTAGCTAAGATAGTTGCCTCGTTTAAGAGGTTAGCAAGATCAGCTCCACTGAAACCAGGTGTTCTCATGGCTATGCCATCAAGCCACACGTATGCATCAAATTTCTTGTTACTGGCATGAACTTTGAGAATTTCAGTTCTACCACGTATATCTGGAACATCACACTACAAAAAGGAGGAGGGTTGGGGACGATAAAAGTCGTCCCCGTAAATAGGAAAAATGGTCCCCATAGTTTTTGGGGACGACTAAGTCGTCCCTAATATGTGGTTCCCTATACTCTTGTCCTCTATTCTTTTGGGGACGACAAAAATCTAGGTCGTCCCCATTACTAGGGACGACAATCGTCCCCGATACTTGCAAGTCGCTGTCTAATTTTTTCCATAAAAGACAACATGTCGTCCCTATAGCTATAACTGCAAGGACAATGAGTCGTCCCCTAAACTTTATTTCCAGGCACGAACAATTGTCCCTTAACTTGTGTATTGGGGGACGAGAATTGTGTCTTATGCACCTTCTAGGAACGACTAATTGTCTCCTATGTAACTCGTATGAACGATTTGTCGTCCTTTAGCATGTGTATTTGGGAACGACTAATTGTCATCTGTATCGCTTGTGGGGACGACCAATTGCCCCTTACTTTGTATTTTCGGGGACATCTAATTGTCACTAATTAACTGGTAGGGACGACCAATCATCTCTTATACAGTGTCTTCAAGTGTGTCAATTTGTCACTAATATAACTTATAGGGAGAACCAATTATCTTTAAGCTTTATATTTCTGGACAACTAATTCCCATAATTCTTACTGAAATGATCAAACTTCTAATGGATGACATACTGGCACAATACATCGAAATGTCTTCAAATAATCTTCATAAATAACTTCAAGCAAACCTACTAGAATATTATCTCAATGTTTAATAGAATAACCAACATCCATTATATGAGAGAGTAAATATTTATTACAAAAACTATAAAGCGTACAAACTGAAAATATATAGCAAGTTCCAGTTCTCAAATTATTTTATCTCATAAGACTAGTATCATCTTATCTTCTCAACATCATAAATTGGTATGACCAACAAACATCCTTCTTCTCTTTGTTCCTGAAACATAATAAAAAAGAAGTAAAAAATCAAACTTATAAGCTACAACAATTATATTGTATCAAATTCAGGAATTTTTTTTTGTCGAAACTAAGTAAGCCTATAACTAAGAAAAGAAGAAAATGTACAAGAAAATGAGAATAAGAAGAAAAAACCTAAGGTTAAAAAAACACAGGCAGTGGGCAAACAAAGAAAAAAGCAAATAAAGTAACTCACAGTCTCACATTTAGATCAGTAGCTGAAGCACAAAAGAAACTATAACATAATTATTATATATCATCTAATCACTACTTCAAAACTTACCTTAGTACCTCATAGTGAATTAGTCCCTTTAACACTTGATGCACCGAGTAGAGTATCCGTTACCTACCTAACAAATATATAAAACATACACAAGAACAATTAGTCCCGTAAGGAGATGGATTTTGAACATTTGGACTCTTCTTTCTGACAAAACAATACATAGGATTAAGTTAGTAACTATACTCGGCTACTCAGCTAATTTGATTGAACATGACAAAGCATATTTAAGGTAGGCAAGGGGAAAAATAGACGCATCATTATAAAGGACTTAAAAAGCAAAGAAGACAAGATAGCTACGTTATTACCATTAAGTTGAAAAGTTAAGTTTTAAGTGAAATCAAATTACCTGTGATGAAGGAATGGACTAAGAAGAGTTCGAAGAGTTTGTGACCATTAAACTTAAATCATTCTCACAACCATGAAAAGATTATAAGATGACATGATACAAAAATTTCATTTCCTACAGGAGAAAGTCGTTAAGATCACCTTATACAAATACAATTGAGAAATTATCCAAATTAAAACATGAGTGAACGTACTAAAAGTAGTAATTTCAACTCCCAACAACTCATAGGCAGGTGAAGTTCCTTATGTCATTGATGATTTTGGAAAGAATAAAATTGTGGGATATATACAGTATTTCAATTCCTTCCAATGCTGCTGTTTACTAGTTATTCAGGCAAGCCAATAGAATTTGAACAACGGAGGCACAAACAACCAAAACCAATGGAGAAGGAAATGGCGAACTAACTTTGTTAGAAGATCGGAATGGCTATGTAGCTACAAATATAAGCTATAATCATAAATCAAGTACTAAACCTAGCAATAGAAAAAGTAATCCATGGGTAAATATGGAACTAACTAGATCTCGTAGCTAGAAAGAGAAACTTAAGCTAAGGTGAATTCTAATTTGTCCAGCAAAGAAATATCAAATATAGGTTAATTGAATTCTTTTAAAGGACTCCAGTCCTTTCAATCGTAAATTAAACAGGGGAAGTAGGTATCCCAGAAATTGGGCCGGAATTCTCCACCGATCAACATGGGGGTTAGAGTAAATCGATAACAAAGCATGAAACCAATTACTTAGAGACATAAAAAAAACTAAAGTTTTATGGGATTTGATGGATTCAGTAGAATAAGAAGAAATACAGAAAGAACAATCGAGAAATCAGACTTACCTTGCCAAGACGAGCAACAAGACTAATACGATCTCCAAATCTCTTGTGGTTTCAGAAATTTTCTTCAACTAGACGGGAAGATCTGGAAAAAAAAAATCTCTCTGAACCAAGAACCAATAATTCAACAAAATATGCAACCAATCAACTTTTGACTACACTCGCCAAGTTGTTGATTTCAATTCATTCGAAGAAATTACACCCAACCCATAAAGAATTGTGTTTTTCTTTCCTGGGTTGGGCTGGGACGACCAACACGGTGCTGCCGCAGAGGGTGCTAGGTGTCTTTTATTCCAGTTTCCTATCATTGGTTTGGATTTACTATGGGAAAAACCCTAAACCCTATAATTGAAATTTTTTCCGATAAGCGTTCTTCTGAAAATGTTAGCTAATTATTATAAATAAAAATTTAGCTGATTGGTGGCTTCATTCCCGCCCAAGGAAAATCAGACTTTAAGCTCAATTAATGGATCCCGTAAAGCCCGCCAAGCTCTCTTATTTTCCTTGTAAAGCCGCCGAAACTTTTCACCCTCCTCTGAGGACGACTTAAAAAAGCTCAAACCAATTAATTAATTAACAATTAATCTATGGGGACAGTTTTATTGTTTTGTCTCCTAAATTACTTAGTATTGTGTTTCCGAAGACCAAATAATATAGCTGTCTCCTATATTCGTACCCAATGCTCCTCTTTTTTGTAGTGTCAACAGACACCTGCGCATTCCAGAACACTCGCATAAGTAATTTTACAATAACAATTCAAGGGGTAAATAGAGGAGAAACAAAACACTATAATTTGTAGTGAGGGAGTTAGGACGTCATTATCTTACCTGTCGGTCGAACCTTCCCGATCTTAAGAGAGCAAAGTTAAGAATGTCTGCCCTGTTGGTTGCTGCAACAACAATGATGCCAGTGTTACCCTCGAAACCATCCATCTCTATCAAAATCTGGTTTAGGGTCTGCTCTCTTTCATCATTTCCTCCACCAATGCCAGTTCCTCTTTGCCTTCCAACAACATCAATTTCATCAACAAAGACAATGCATGAAGCATTCTCCTTTGCCTTTTTGAAGAGATCGCGGACTCTTGAGGGGCTCGGATAGAATAACAACACTCTTAGTGTTGTTATTATAACAACCAAATTCATTAAGGGTAAAAGGGTAAATTAGATAGAAAATAATAAAATAAAGTTAATTAAATTCAGCCACCGAACTAATCCTCTCCACGCCTCCGAACACGGATTCTTCCAACTCGCCGGCCACGGGATCGCTGCCCAACTCGCCCAATCCGCCGAGCCGGAATTGCTCGCTCTGTTCGAACTCCCCTACGACAAAAAGGAAATGCAGTTCCTGAGGAACTGGCCTCTGGGATTTGAGCCCGACGAAGAGGCCAAGATTAGCAGCGATGACAATTTTTTTCTCTCCGGCACAAATCCTCATCTCTACCATCGCCGCGCCAATCCCCGTCGACGGACAGTTCGACGGCACTCGTAGATCTGGTTGCCCGCCGCTTCGGAGTAGTCGATCCAATCCGGCACCATGGCAGCCGCTAACGCGCCGATTACCATGAAGGAAGTGTTGATTGTAAGTAGCCTGCCTTAGCCTACTTTTCCTTCCCGGGCTTCCTCGATTCGAAGCTTCGAAAGCTCCCTTTTGTAGCTGAAACGAGATTGAAACGTGATCTGGTGTTTCTTTTGCAGCTTCCAAGCATTGGGATTAGTCCGCTTCATTAGAGTTCACAATGGCGGTTTAATGTTCACAGTTCTCACCGCTACCAAGCATAGAAAAGAATAGTGAATCCTTCTTTCCCTGTCCCCATTATATCCCCATCTTCCTCAAAACCCATTTAAGGAAACAGGTTCCAATACAAGATGGATCAAAGAGACCACCAATATCTGGAGCCTCTCAGTATGTACAGCTGGCTCTAGAATTTCATCACGAGATCTTTGATGACACAAGCCTTCGGAACCTTCACCTTAGGCTGTCCAACATTGCAACCTCACCATTTCGTCAGTAAGGGTCAAAGTGAAACTGTTGCTAATGCAAACCACAAACACGATAAAGCAAATCAAAAACGTCCTAATGCAGACCACAAATATATTTAAACAAAACAGAAACCTCCCAAAGCAAACCAAAATATATTAAAACAAACTAGAAACCTTGCAAAGCAAACCACAAAAGTTTCGAAAGCACACCAGAAACTTCTTAATGCAAACTAGAAACCTCCTAATGCATACCACAAATCTCCTAAAACAAACTAGATTCCCCACAATGCAAACCACAACATTTGTTAAAGCACACCAGAAACCTTATAATGAAAACCACAAACACAGTAAATCAAACCACAAAAAAGCAAACCATAAACATCCTAATGCAGACCACAAATATATTAAAACAAACCAGAAAGCCCTCAATGCAAACCACAAAATTTTTGAAAACAAACAAGAAACTTCTCAATGCAAACCACAAACACGATAAAGCAAACCATAAACTTCTTCATGCAAACCACAAACACGATAAAGCAAACCACAAATGACATACAAAAATATGAGAAACCAAACCATAAATCTCACAATGCAGACCATAACATCCGGTGGTCGTTGGTCGTTGACCGGTCAACGAAGACTGTTGAACGGTCAACGAAACCCGTTGATCAAACTCCGATGACCGTCAGTGAGTAGATTCCGGCGCCGATAGGCATATTCCGGCCCCGATGACTAGATTCCGACGCCGGTAATCATATTCCGACGCCGATAAGCATATTCCGACTCCGGTAAGCATATTCCGATGACAAAATAGCATATTCCGGCGACAAAAGAATATTCCGGTGACCGGCGACCATTTTCCGGCGACCGGTGGCAGAAATTCGGCGACAAAATTTTGGGCAGAAAATAAAAAAAAATTTATTTTTTATTTTTTTTATTATTTAAACATATTTTTCATAATGACAATTATACCCCTGTTTTGATTTTACACTAGGTCAACTCAACTAATAAAAAGTCATCACATCCCTAGCTTCCTATTGGTTGGGGACTAGTGTTGTTACAATAACAACACAATGGGTGTTGTTACAATAACCGGTCCCACTCTTGAGACACCAACACCGACAAACATCTCAACAAACTCAGAACCGGATATAAAAAAAAAGGCTAAATTGCAAGATTGGTCACTTGAATTACTAGCAAAATTCACGTTAGCCACTAGAATTGCTTTATTCCATTTGTAGTCACTTAAATTAGGTTAACAGTTCAAGTTTGGTCACTGGCCGTTAGTCTCCGTTAACTTTTACTGATGTGGCGGTCAACTCTTATAGTTGACCGTTAAATGAGTGACGTGGCAATTAAAAAATTAATAAAAAATAATTTTTAATAATTTCCATCTCATTATTACAATAAATTAAAAAATAATTAAAATAAAAAAATCACAAACAACGCCATCGGCTTCTCTTCCACTTATCCCATCATCCACCGCCATCCCTGCCAACCTCCGCCGTCAACACTCTCCCTTTTCCCTTCTGTCTTCAAATTTGAAACCCACAGCCGGTGGCCGATTCAGAAGAACAAGACCCAACCTATCTTCTCAACCAAATGTCGGAGGAGCGGACGGTGTATGAAGCGGAGTGGGCAATCATGACCCTGGCTGCGTATGGCGGCGGCGACGGGATGAATTTCTTGATGATTTCGGGGTCGGAAAGGATGCGCCACCACGATTTGCTGACGCAGCGGCTTCGGCAGACGGCGGAGGGTGTCGGCTGCTTGGACAGGATTTGGAGCGCGAGGCCCTTGAGGATGTGAGCGGCGGCGTCGCGCCGATCGTAGGCGATCGCCTTGTCGGCTTGCTCCTCGGCTTGCTTGGCTAGGGTTGAGCGGGTGGCGGAAACGGAGCTCCACCTGGCCTGGGAGAGGAGCTGGGCGCCGCGGACGAACTGGCGATTGGCCTCAGCGTCGGCGGCAAGGGCGCGCTGGCGGAGCTTGGCGTAGATCTTCTGGGGGATGCTGTGGGAGTAGAGGAACATGAAGACCGTGACGCCAATCCCGAGGACTTGGAGAAGTATGTCGGTCACCATTCGGTCCATTCCCGCCCCCCCCCCCCCCCCCCCCCCCCCCCCCCTATTTGTGCTCTGCTCTTATTTTGTGCTTTGCTCCGGTGAAAGTGATAGCTCTGGCGGGGGTGAATAAGAGATGGTGGAATTGGTTGGATTCGGGATGGGGGGAAATTTTTTTCTTTCTATTTTCTGGTCGTCGGAATTAGAGGAGTGAGAGGGTCATAGATATAGTTGACGGGAGGGTGGAAATTATTTTTTAATTATTTTTTAATTTATTGTAACAATGAGGTGGAAATTATTAAGAATTTAATTTTATTATTTTATTAATTTTTTAATTGCCACGTCACTCATTTAACGGTCAACTATAAGAGTTGACTGCCACATCAGCAAAAGTTAACGGAGACTAACGGCCAGTGACCAAACTTGAACTGTTAACCTAATCTAAGTGACTACGAATGGAATAAAGTAATTCTAGTGGCTAACGTGAATTTTTCTAGTAATTCAAGTGACCAATCTTGCAATTTAGCCAAAAAAAAAAAAAAGGACACCAGCTTCACCGGCGATGGCCTTAGCTAGAAGAGTCTTCCCAGTGCTTGGAGGACCAACAAGAAGGACACCCTTCAGAATACGAGCCCCAACCGCAGTGAATCTCTCGGGCTTCTTTAGGAACTCCACGACTTCCATGAAATCTTGCTTTGCTTCGTCAACTCCAGCAACATCATCAAATGTTACACCAGTGTTGGGCTCCATTTGGAACTTTGCCTTAGACAGACCAAAGGTAAGGGGGAAACCAGGGCCCCCAGGACCACCCATTCCTCCGAAGGAACGTCGAGAGAGGAGGAAAAGCCCTCCTATCAAGAGTAAAGGAAAAGCGAGGTTTCCAATCAAGTTAAAAAGGAGAGAGCCAGAGTCTTCTTGAGCATTATGAGCTGCAAAGTCAATGTTCTTTACTCGGAATTTCTGAAGAAGCTCTTGGCTATGGCCAGGAAGTTGTACGCGGACTCGTTGTACCCGGTTACCAAGCTCAGGTGAAACAGCCTCAACAATAGCAATTGTCCCTTTCTCAAACAAGTCCACATTTTTCACTCTATCCTTATCCAAATACTCCAAGAACCTGGAATAAGTGATAAACCGTTAATTGCACATGTTTTTACCCCTATTCCTGAGCCGTTTGAGACGTTGATCCTCGTGTTTTAGGCCGATTTCACGCTATGTTGTGCTTGTTTGTGATATTTCAGGTCCTAGTACGTGAATGAAGGTTTGAGAACGAGTTCGGGGTCGATTGGACGAAGTTTGGACGTTTGGCGAGAAGCTGGGAAGCCACACGGGCACCATTGCACCTCACACAAACGTGTAGGGGCCCCTTGTGGCCGTGTGGTCTCTGCCCGTGCAGCTTGCCTGGTTGCCCACTAATCGAAACGCCGCGTTTGGACACTCACACGGGCAGCTGGGAAAGTCACACGGCCGTGTGGCCTGGCCGTGTGAGTCGGGAATTTCTGGTTTTAAGCCAATTTCCAGCCAAAGGAGAGGGGGGGCTGGGTTTTGGTTCCCAAACACCCAAGGACGAACCCTAGAGAGAGAGAGAGCGACTTGGGAACATTCTTGGAGCTATTTTGGAGGATTTCTTCGCCATTGGAGCTCGGGAATCAAGCTTGAAGATGGAGATTGAAGATCTAGATCATATTTCTGCAGTCTCTCTCTTCTCTATGGAGTAACTTCCCTTCACTTAGGTTTTGAGGAACCCTAGTTCCATGTGTTAAGATCTTTCTTGTATGAAGTTTTGGATGTTATATTGTTTGATTATAATCGATTGAGGAATGACTTATTGAGTCAATTGAATCTTGATCAGATTCTCTTGATTTCTGCTTTAACCTATGATAGATAGAATCTGATTAGGTTAAGAGAGCTTCCTTGATTGATAGTGGTGAATTGGTTGTGCGAGAGTCAATCAATTCACTGCTTTGTACTGGAATTCATTCCAGTAGTGGAGATCTGTGTGAATCGCCTTATCAGTCTATCCTGGTGAAGGCTAGTCGTCTGCCGGGTATTCTGTCTAAGAGGGCTTGGTCAGCTAATTTAGGACCTTCCGCAGTTTAATCAACAGTAGATCAACCAAAGGTAATTGCAACTTGGACCTAATTGAGGAGCTAGGGGGAATCATACCTAAGTGAGTTCCCAACTTGTAATTAGTAGAGTAGTTAGTAGAGTAGTTTAGTAAATCAATCCTTAATCTAGTTTGCTAGATAATGAACTGAAGCTGAGTAATAGTAACTCTAGAGACACGTGGATTCGATATTTATTACTTGTGCCACTATACAGCAGTCCTTTTTATTGGTTACACTTGGCCATTGTTAGGTGTTGTGTTTTAGCGTGTCATGTTTTTGGCGCCGTTGCCGGGGACTTTCTAGATTATTAGGAAAGGTAGAAGTTTGTTACTTTAGAATTTTTCTTTTCTTTTCCACCCTTGCTTTTCACTTGGGTGTTTTTGTTTTTGTTGGTGCAGATCTTAATCATGGATCCTCATGGCTTCTCCAATCATTGGGGGTATCCACCACCATCCGAGTGGTATTACCCCGAGACCCCCTGGAGCAATCAAGGAGGAGAAGACTATGGATTCGGGTTCCAATACCAATCCCCTTACTACGGTGAACAATTAGACCCCTGGGCATATTAAGAACAACCTCCTTATCAAGAAGACTTTCTCCCACAACCAGAAGGGCCATCGGAGTTGGAGTTCGCCATGGCGACCTTCACGACCCATTCTGCAGAGCCATGCTACACTCCACAGGAGGATCGAAACAAACAATTGAGACTTCTCGTGGAGCAGTTTGCTCGAGACACTGAGAGATCATGCCCAAGTTGGAACCTTTTACCCAGGCCAATGCCCAAACTGAGTTCTCCTACTGTGAAACAGAGGAAACCCTCCAGAGCATTAAGAAGAGCCTCAAGGATCTTGAGCAAGTTTGTGCACAGCTTGCTCAAGATCCCCTTTCTGCTACCATAGAAGTAGAGGAGGATGAAGGAGGCTACAAAGACATTGTGGAGCATACAGAAGTTATCACAGAGAACTCCCATGATAATCATGATCAGGAAAGTCCTCTGGTTGCAGATCACACCTTTCCTCATTTCTGCTCTAACATGATGGACCCGAGCGAGGAGATGCAAGATGATCTCATTGAAGAAATTACATGGCGACTTGCTCTCCAATCTGTTTTAGAAGAAGAAGAGAGAGAAAGGGTGAGGGAAGAAGTTGTGGAGGATGAGGAAGAAAGCAAAGAAGAGGAAGTTCTTGATCATTTCCCAGGGGTGATACCACATGAAGAAGGAAGGGAGTTTGAAGAAGCAAATGGCGTCCAGGCTGAGGACGGAGTTGAGGTGGAAGAGGCCTGCACCAGCCATGAGTTACATGTGATATCTCCACCTAACTTCGAGGAACTGCTTAGCAAGGACCCATTTGCAGTGTCTCTTTGCCAGACCAAGGCCACATCGACATCGGTTCCTCTTGGCGGACGCGATGGTGGTCAATCGATGCCGTCATATCTAGTTTGGGGCAATGAGACGAGAGAGGAGAAGAAGAGGTGTCGAGGGTGGAAACGTTATCTGCATCAAGTGCACGAGCTTTCATCACCTGTCATACCACATGCTCGTGACTTGAGACTCCACCTCATCGACGAGAACCTCAACTTCAAGGAGGTTTTGGGGTGGATCGAAACTTAGGAGCCATCGTCCGGCTCACAACGTGAAAGAAGCGCTTGTTGGGAGGCAACCCAACCAGTCGGTTTGCATTTCTTTCTCTTTTTCTCCTCGGTTGAGTCAGTTTTGTTATTTGATTTTATAGTCAATAACTCAACCTTTGTGAGATTTTGTGTGGTGTTTGTGTTCTAACTACTCTCTCCTCCTGGAATGCACCGCCTGCCTTGTCCACCATCATTCACCATTGATCTGGTAACTTCATTCTACCCTCCTTATCTTTCCTCCATTGAGGACAGTGTCGTGCTTAAGTGTGTGTGTGGGGGGGGTGTTTGATTATGTATGCGGGTGAATGTTGGTTGTTTGTGTGCTTGGAGCCTAGTCCACTGTCCAAATTTTTAAATTTGAGGGCTCCAAGTACTTGTTTCCTTGCAAATTGCCTGCTCAGTATGCTTTGAATTGACAGTCTTTATGGTGATATGCAACCTAGGGAGGTAGTTGTAGCACTATGAAGGATGTTGAAGTATAAGATTTTTCCTATCTCTCTCTGCTGTGCCAGTTGATTTTATGAACTAGTGGATTTAGGACCGTTGATTCATGTGGAATTAATGACTCCTTTTATGTTGTGTTGTGGACTCATGTATCGAAAAAGGGTGCTCAAGTGTGAAATGAAAAAGCAGTTGGTCCTCCATGTCAAAATCATTAAATCTTAAACATGGGGTAAGCCCAACGTGTGTGGCACCGTTCATTGCACAAAATCGGGTTTTCGAAGAGATTTTAGTGATCCTTGGTGGGGTAGGCCTACAAGGTGAAGCTAAGTTGTCTCTAGTACAAGTAAAATTTCCACCCGTTGAACGCTTTGCCTACTTGAGGATGTGTTTTTAAGGGCACGGATAGAGCTTCCGACCCCCCTTAATTTCATTGACCCTCCAAACGAGTTGAAGAAAAGGAGTTAAAAGAAGTACTCTGGCGAGCGCCAGATGTACAGAAATTGCTCTTGCTCGACTAACAAGGGTCGACCGTGCAAAAGACTGCAGTTGGAACCCCCGCCAAGTGAATGAAAAGAAAAAAAAGGGGAGTAAAATTAAAGAGAAAAAGGGGTTCCAACGGTGAAATGAAGTGAAAGAGCACCCCGGTACAACGAGTCCTTGGTTGTGAATGGTGTGAGTCTCATTATCCATGAATTGAATGTCTTAGTTCCACTGCTTCTGATGATCTAAAACACAACACCTAACAATGGCCAAGTGTAACCAATGAAAGGGACTGCAGTATAGTGGCACAAGTAATAAATATCGAATCCACGGGTCTCTAGAGTTACTATTACTCAGCTTCAGTTCATTATCTAGCAAACTAGATTAAGGATTGATTAACTAAACTACTCTACTAACTAAACTAAGTAAAACTACTAATTACAGTTTGGGAACTCACTTAGGTATGATTCCCCCTAACTCCTCAATTAGGTCCAAGCTGTAATTCTTTTTGGTTGATTTACTGTTGATTAAACTGCGGAAGATCCGACAGTAGCTTGGAATCTCTTAAGCTGACCAAGCCCTCTCAGTCTAACTATCCGGCAGACGACTAGTCTTCACCGGGATAGAAAGCTGAAGCAATAAGCACAGAACTCCACTACTGGAATTGGATTCCAGTACAAAGCAGTAAACTGGCTAACTCTCGTATAGCCATTCTCCTACTACCGAATGATGAGACTCTAGCAACCTAATCAGATTCTATCTATCTCAGATTGCAGCAGGAATCAGGAAAAGTTGATCAGACTTCAATTGACTCAATAAACATGCATCATTCGATTAAAATCAAACAAATAGCATCCAAAACTTCATACAAGAAAGATCCTAACTCATGGAACTACGGTTCCTCAAAACCTAAGTGAAGGGAAGTTACTCCATAGAGAAGAGAGACACTGCAGAAATCTGATCTAGATCTTCAATCTCCATCTCCAAGCTTGATTCCCGAGCTCCAATGGCGAAGAAATCCTCCAAAATAGCTCCAAGAATGTTCCTAAGTCGCTCTCTCTCTCTAGGGTTCGTCCCTTGGGTGTTTGGGATCCAAAACCCAGCTCTCCCCCTTTCCTTTTGCTGAAAATCGGGTTTTAAACAGCAATTCCCGACTCAGATGGCCAGGCCACACGGCCGTGTGGCTTTCCCAGCTGGCCGTGTGAAGGCTCGGTGATTTCCACACGGCCACATGGCCAGGTCACACGGCCGTGTGGGTTGTGCCCGTGTGGCTTGCTCAGCCTCCGTTTATTGCTTCGTTTCTCCCTCGTCCGGACTCCGAATCAGTCGTCGTTTGATCCCAGACGCTCGTAGTATCGTCCTATTTCTTTTCATGACAAGCTTTCATGATTCCTTGTCCATACAGTGAGGTAGAAATCCATTCTTCTTCAGACCCGAGTTTCTTCTCACGAATCGTCAATTGATCTCTGATTGACTTGAAACTTGCGCCTATGCTTCACTTTATGTGCTAGGACCTGAAATGTGACAAAGGAACACAACCTAGCGTAAAATAGGCCAAAGACACGATAATTCAAGCTCAAACAATCAAGAAACAAAGGGGAAAACATGTACAAATACCGAGTCATCAAATCCCCCCACACTTAACTGTTTGCTTGTCCCCAAGCAAACCTAACTCAAACCAATGCAGCTCTCCAGAGCTCTATAGCAACATACAACCCCGATCGTCGGTAGAGGATTTCCTAGATCATATAGCAGCTTACGAGGTCAACTGGTCTTCTAAGACATTCCCTATCTCTCTCAATGCGAGTACTAGACTGAAGCCAGGATCATGAGAAAAATTAGAAGTAAGACAGCCAGTTCATGGATAAAGGGACTCACACCATTCACAACCAAGGATTCGTTGTACCGGGGTGCTCTTTCACTTCATTTCACCGTTGGAACCCCTTTTTCTCACTTTCATTTACATTTTTTCTTTCATTTGGTGGGGTTCCAACTGCAGTCTTTTGCACGGTCGACCCTTATTAGTCGAGCAAGAGCAATTTCTGTACATCTGGAGCTCGCCAGAGTACTTCTTTTAACTCCTTTTCCTCAACTCGTGTGGAGGGTTAATGAAATTAAGGGGGGTCGGAAGCTCTATCCGTGCCCTTAAAAACACATCCTCAAGTAGGCAAACCGTTCAACGGGTGGAAGTTTTACTTGTACTAGAGACAACTTAGCTTCACCTTGTAGGAGTATCCCACTAAGGATCACTAAAATCTCTTCCAAAACCCGATTTTGTGCAATGAACGGTGCCGCACACGTTGGGCTTACCCCATGTTTAAGATTTAATGATTTTGACATGGAGGACCAACCGCTTCCCATTTTCCACATTAGCACCCTGTTCGATACACGAGTCCATAACACAATCCAAACAGAGTCACCATTACCACATGAATTCAATGGTCTTAGCTCCACTAATTCACAAAATCAATTGACACAGCAGAGAGCTAGATAGGAGAAATCTTATACTTCAACATCCTCCATAGTGCTACACTACCTCCCTAGGTTGCACATTACTATAGAGACTGTCAATTCAAAGCATACTGAGCAGGCAATTTGCAAGGAAACACGTACTTGGAGCCCTCAAATTTAAAAATTTGGACAGTGGACTAGGCTCCAAGCACACAAACATAATCGAACATCCCCCCACACTTAAGCATGACATTGTCCTCAATGGAGGAAAGATAAGGAGGGTAGAACGAAGTTACCAGATCAAGGGTGAATGATGATGGACGGGTCAGGCGGTGCATTCCAGGAATAGAGAGTAATCAGAACGCAAACACCACACAAAATCTCACAAAGGTTGAGTTATTGACTCTAAAATCAAATAACAAAACTGACTCAACCGAGGAGAAATAGAGAATGAAATGCAAACCGACTGGTTGGGTTGCCTCCCAACAAGCGCTTATTTCACGTCGTGAGCCGGACGATGCCTCCTAAGTTTCGGTCCATGCTAGAACCTCCTTGAAGTTGAGGTTCTTGTCGATGAGGTGGAGTCTCAAGTCACGAGCATGTGGTGTGGCAGGTGATGAAGGCTCATGTACTTGATGCAGATAAAGTCTCCACCCTCGAGACCTCTTCTTCTCTTCTCTCGTCTCATTGCCCCAAACCAGATATGACAGCATCGACCGACCACCATCGCGTCCACCAAGAGGGACCGATGTCGATGTGGCCTTGGTCTGGCAAAGAGACACTGCAAATGGGTCCTTGCCAAGCAGTTTCTCAAAGTTTGGTGGGGATATTACTTGCAACTCATGGCCGGTGCATGCCTCTCCACCTCAACTTCATCCTCAGCCTGGACGCCAATTGCTTCCTCAACCCCCCCTTCCTTCTTCAAAATGTGGTCTCTCCCCTGGGAAAAGATCAAGAACCACCTCTTCTTTTCTTTCTTCCTCATCATCCACAACTTCCTTCCTCATCCTTGCTCGCTCTTCTTCTTCTAGAACAGATTGGAGAGCAAGTCGCCAAGCAATTTCTTCAATGGGATCATCTTGCATCTCCTCGCACGGGCCCAGCATGTTAGAGCATAAATGAGGAAAGGTGTGGTCTGCAACCAAAGGACTTTCCTGATCATGGTTATCATGGGAGTTCTCTGTGATAATTTCTGTATGCTCCTCAACGCTCCCATAGCCTTTGTCATCCTCCACCTCTTCTAGCGTGGCAGCAGAAAGGTGATCTTGAGCAAGATGTGAGCAAACTTGCTTCACCCACTCTGTTTGCTTCGCTGAGCGCTGAACAGTCTCCTCCATATCATGGAGAAATGAGGGATCAGAAGTGGCAAGGGCTTTGATTTGAAGATCCATCTTGGAGCATGATTTCTCAGTGTCTCGAGCAAACTGCTCCACGAGAAGCCTTAATTGTTCGTTCGGATCCTCCAGTGAAGTGTAGCATGGCTCTGCAGAGTGGCCCGTGAAGGCCTCCATGGGTAAATCCAGCTCCGATGGCCCTTCTGGTTGTGGGAGAAAGTTTTCTTGGTAATGAGGTTGTTCTTGATATGCCCAGGGGACTGATTGTTCTCCGTAGTAAGGGGGTTGGTACTGGAACCCGAATCCATAGTCTTCTCCTCCTTGATTGCTGTAGGGAGTCGCGGGGGAATACCACCCGGATGGTGGTGGATACCCCCAATGATTGGAGAAGCCATTAGGATCCATGATTCAGATCTGCACCAACAAAAACAAAAACACCCAAGTGAAAAGCAAGGGTGGAAAAGAAAAGAAAAGAAAAACGCTAAAGTAACAAACTTCTGCCTTTCCTAATACTCTAGAAAGTCCCCGGCAACGGCGCCAAAAACTTGATGCTCTAAAACACAACACCTAACAGTGGCCAAGTGTAACCAATGAAAGGGACTGCAGTATAGTGGCACAAGTAATAAATATCGAATCCACGGGTCTCTAGAGTTACTATTACTCAGCTTCAGTTCATTATCTAGCAAACTAGATTAAGGATTGATTAACTAAACTACTCTACTAACTAAACTAAGTAAAACTACTAATTACAGTTTGGGAACTCACTTAGGTATGATTCCCCCTAGCTCCTCAATTAGGTCCAAGTTGTAATTCCTTTTGGTTGATTTACTGTTGATTAAACTGCGGAAGATCCAACAGTAGCTTGGAATCTCTTAAGCTGACCAAGCCCTCTCAGTCTAACTATCCGGCAGACGACTAGTCTTCACCGGGATAGAAAGCTGAAGCAATAAGCACAGAACTCCACTACTGGAATTGGATTCCAGTACAAAGCAGTAAACTGGCTAACTCTCGTATAGCCAATCTCCTACTACCGAATGATGAGACTCTAGCAACCTAATCAGATTCTATCTATCTCAGATTGCAGCAGGAATCAGGAAAAGTTGATCAGACTTCAATTGACTCAATAAACATGCATCATTCGATTAAAATCAAACAATATAGCATCCAAAACTTCATACAAGAAAGATCCTAACTCATGGAACTACGGTTCCTCAAAACCTAAGTGAAGGGAAGTTACTCCATAGAGAAAAGAGAGACTGCAGAAATCTGATCTAGATCTTCAATCTCCATCTCCAAGCTTGATTCTCGAGCTCCAATGGCGAAGAAATCCTCCAAAATAGCTCCAAGAATGTTCCTAAGTCGCTCTCTCTCTCTAGGGTTCGTCCCTTGGGTGTTTGGGATCCAAAACCCAGCTCTCCCCCTTTCCTTTTGCTGAAAATCGGGTTTTAAACAGCAATTCCCGACTCACACGGCCAGGCCACACGGCCGTGTGGCTTTCCCAGCTGCCCGTGTGAAGGCTCGGTGATTTCCACACGGCCACATTGCCAGGTCACACGGCCGTGTGGGTTGTGCCCGTGTGGCTTGCTCAGCCTCTGTTTATTGCTTCGTTTCTCCCTCGTCCGGACTCCGAATCAGTCGCCGTTTGATCCTAGACGCTCGTAGTCTCGTCCTATTTCTTTTCATGACAAGCTTGCATGATTATTTGTCCATAAAGTGAGGTAGAAATCCATTCTTCTTCAGGTCATACCCGAGTTTCTTCTCCCGAATCGTCAAATGATCTCTGATTGACTTGAAACTTGCGCATATGCTTCACTTTATGTGCTAGGACCTGAAATGTGACAAAGGAACACAACCTAGCGTAAAATAGGCCAAAGACACGATAATTCAAGCTCAAACAATCAAGAAACAAAGGGGAAAACATGTGCAAATACCGAGTCATCAGCTTCTCATGATCCTAGCTTGAGTCTAGTACTCGCATTGAGAGAGATAGGAGGCGTCTTAGAAGACCAATTAACCTCGTAAGTTGCTAAATGATCTAGAAAATCCTAT